GAGGGCAGGACCAGAGGCAGAGATGCAAGAATGGGCTGAGAGGCCAGGCAGACGGGGATGAGCCCCCCGGAACATAGTGGCTGGCATCATGGGCTGTGTGTATGTCCCCCGACACACGCACAAACTCATGTGCTGGAATCACCATCCCCAGAGTGGTGGTGTCAGGAAGTGGTCCTGGGAGGTGATTAGGTCATGAGGGTGGGGCCCTCGTGATGGGGTTGGTGCCCTTAGAAGAAGAGACAGCAGAGAGCTTGTCCCCCTTTGCTCCCTCTGCCATGTGAGGACATGGTGAGAACCAGAGGTCAGAGGTCAGTCGGCTCCCAGACTCCCATATGCTGGCACCTTGACCCTGGACTCCCAGCCTTCAAAACTGTGAGAAATAAATGTTTATTGTTTAGGCCATCCATTCTCTGGTATTTTGTTCATGGAAGCCTAAGATAAAGCAGCTGAGAAATCATCTCAAACATAAACAGTTTCTACTATGATATTCAAAGAATTGAGTAAGCAGAGGAGTGGGCAAGTAGAGGAGGTAATCTTGGGTTAAGACTAGGTTAGCTGCAGGGCTAGGTAGCATTCAGGTTAGGATGAAATTTAGTTAAGACTAGGTTGGCTATGAAGATAGATAGCATTCAGCTTAGGGTTAAGGTTAGAGTTTGGCCTAGAATTAAGGCCCCCACTGGTTTTCTTCCCATTTGAACACATGACTCAAGAGATTTCTGTGACCCATTGTAATGTACAGAGTCTCAAATGGACTATTTTTCACATCTATTTTTAACACATTCATTTTTCACATCTCTAATCAAGGGCTATTTTACAAAGGTTCATGATGTCTTCACTTAATCAGCAGTATATTTATTTCATAGCAGTACATTAAATAATGGTGGATTTTCTAATCAGCAGCATCTCACATTTTTTTGTAATATGCTGAATGTGTTCAACACACAATGGAAAATCAAATAACTCTGTTAGTTCAGAGGAAGCACAAGCATTGTGGAGTGTTGTCTATTAGTCCTGTCTCCAAGTCTTGTTTCCTAAGGAAGCTTTCAGACTCAGAAGTGTTTTCTTGAATAAACGTTAATCACACTCTCTTATGCATGCTGGCTTGAGGGACCACAGAGCAACAGGTCAAGAGCTGGGTGTGTTCTTGCAGCAGCATGTAAAAAGGCAGAAAAATTAAAGAATAAGAATCGAGGTGGCCTCGGCAGTCACTGAGAGGGGAGTTCTCAAAAAGCCTTAAAACAGAAAACACAGGGGAGAAAATATGAGAACAAGAGGTATGGAAGTTTGGTTCAGGAATCTAGCAAGCAGGTGGACTCAGTAAACAAAATAGCTATTTTTAAAACATCTTGTAACTCATTACCAAGCTACTCTATGATTTGAGTTCATTTAGGTCTTTTGCTGTTGTTCAAACCAGACTGTGTGAGTTACCTTATAAACAGAGGGTCATGTGAGCATGCTAATTGCCTGAGTCTGCAAAGGGGCCAGAAATCCTAAAAGGTGCCTCAGCCAAAAACTAGGATCTCCCTGGTAAGGAATTTCTGTCTTCCTGTCTATGGTTGCACTCCCAGAAGAGCGTTAACACCTGATGATGGGAACCCCCAACTCAGGACTTCAGTGTCCAGCCACACCGGTGCTTCTTCAACACTGTTTTCTAACATCCTGAGTGGCTCCCTAGGGCCTCAGACCTGCTATCCAAATGTTGCTGCTTGATTCATAAGGCCCCCGAGAGGGAAGATGTGGCTGGTCCTCTCCTGTGTCCTCAGCCACCAAGAGCTCACTCCAGCCCTCCCTCTGTATCTCTTTTAAAGGTCCTTCCCTCTGGGTTCCATACATCCTCAGAGGCTGCCATCACCAGGCCAGGCCAGTGAAGGTGACAGTAATGGCCACACCAGAGCTCCTGTGACAGATGCCTGTGTGAACCAGTCCTGTGACACAGCCCTCCTGGGGGTCCTCCTGCCTAGATGACTGGCTCTGCATCTATAGGACTAAGAGACTCTGGCTGAAGCTGACTAGGTTGAGGATGGACTCCTAACTGACGTCCACAGTCCTAGGCTGGCCAGTGGCCAATGAGTTTGCTGGGCAGGTACAGAGGTTCAGCTTAAAGAAGGATGATGAGGACTAGGCAGGGCATGAGAGCCTGCTCTTGGAAATCTGGACAGAAGAGAGAGAGAGAGCACTCTAGGAGCAAATGGTCATGTTTCCTTAACAACAGAGCCTCAGAGAAGGAGCCAGAAGTCCTATAGCTGCCATGCCATTAGGCCACCCTGTTACCAGAGCAGACTCAGGTCCAGTGCAGCCTCCCGAGCCCAGTTTCTGTGGGTCCAGGTCTAAGTCAGTTTCTGTCTTCCTTTAGAGCCCTGTGAGCAGAGCATTTCCTGGCTTCTTGTGGAGTCTGAAAGGCTAAGAGTCTTATTCCCCACATGCATCCATACAGTCCTGAGGGCAACCTGAATTCCCTTAAAATTAATTCATAAAACAAAGAACCATACACACGCAGTGACCTTCACTAGCCCTGCTCCCTTAGCATCTGCAGCATTTCCAGCCTGAACTATGCCATTTGGCACTTACTACAGACAGTCCCCCAAGGTCACTCATTTTGCTTTGGTTTTGCCTCACAGCAGTTCATACACTTCCTCAGGGCAGGGCTCATGCCTCATGTGTCTTTTTTATCTCTCAAGTCCTATATGGCCTTGACTAAGGTATTGACACTTAACCTCTCCAAGCATCAGTATTCTTGTTTTCAAAACTGGAATAACAGTAGCAACTACTTGAAAGGGTAATTTTGAAGAATAAATGAGAGCATGTCTGCAAAGGGCTTGGCTTAGTGCCTGGCACACCATGTGTGCTCAGTAAGCACTGGTGGAGGCAGTGATGGCAGTGATGGTAATGCTGGTGGTGATGGTGGTGGTGGTGGTGGTGGTGGTGACGATGGTGGTGATGACAGTGATGGTGATGATGGTGAAAATAGTGATGGTGATACTGATGACAGTGGTGATGCTGGTGGTGGTGATGACAGTGATGGTGATGACGGTGAAAATAGTGATGGTGATACTGATGACAGTGGTGATGCTGGTGGTGGTGATGATGATGATGGTGGCGGTGATGGTGAAAATATTTATGGTGATACTGACAGTGGTGGTGGTGGTGATGGTTGTGGTGGTGATGGTGATCCTGATGGTAGTGGTGATGATGATGGTTAGTGATGCTGATGGTGATGATGGTGAAAATAGTGATGGTGGTAGTGATGGTGATGCTGATGGCAGTGGTGGTGATGGTGATGGTGGTGGTGATGGTGATACTGATGGTAATGGTGATGATGGTGGTGGTGGTGATGATGGTGATGATAGTGTTGATGCTGATGGTGGTGATGATGATGATGATAAGAGTGATGCTGATGGTGATGATGGTGAAAATAGTGATGGTGGTAGTGATGGTGGTGGTGGTGATGGTGAAAATACTGATGGTGATACTGATGGTGGTGATGGTGGTGGTGGTGATGATGATGGTGGTGATGGTGAAACTACTGATGGTGGTGGTAGTGATGGTGGTGGTGGTGATGGTGGTGGTAGTGATGGTGGTGGTGGTGGTGGTGATGATGAGGGGATGATGATGCTGATGCTGATGGTGGTGACAATAGTGGTGGTGATGGTGAAAACTGTGATGATGATGGTGGTATGGTGATGACAATGGTGGCGGTGGCAGTAATGGTCATGCTGGTGGTGGGGTGGATAGTATGCATCATATAGTTCTGAACGTACAGCAGAAACTTAGAAGTATTCACTGTCATGTGGGTCACCTGGCAATCCACACATGCTCATGGGCTTTCACAGGAAATAAGAGGTAGAGACGAGCAGAAGTGAAGGCCAACACATGTGGAGCAGATGCCAGGACACCAAGCCAAGCCTACCAAGCAGGACTATGACCATATTCACCCCTTGCAATACATGGGCAGAAATCCTAAAGATGAGGAAAGAAAATAGGTTCTAATACATTAAATGACTTTCCCTGTTTTATAAAACTAAGTAATGACACTGCCTGGGCCTAAGATCTGCATAAGCCCAATGGTCAGGCCTTTGCCATGTACACCAGGCTGTCCTGCAAGTGAGCCTTTGGGGACTGACGGGCGGAGGGAGAGGCAGCCAGTGAGCTCTTCCACCATAGCCATGGCTCCAGAGCAGGGAATCTGCACACAAAACACGTCAAAATCCACAGTTCATTGACTCATGATCAGGGTTTACATATGCATCAGAAGAAATAAAGTCCAGTTACTCCATTTCAACTTTGACCTGAAAAGGAGGAGGAAACAGAAGCAGAGTGTTGAGCAGCAGCGGCACTACTGAGGTTGGCGACAGGCCGTTAAGACGCTGTAGGTCGAGTTCCTTTAGAGACAGCCTCAGAGGGTGGCTGGTTCTCGTTTTCAGATGACGGTTCTGAAAGGTCTGCCTGGGCTTTGTGTTCTGACTCTGCTCTCCAGGTGATGGAGTGGAGAGGGGAGGCATGACAATGCTTTCTGAGTGTCCACTGCAGCCAGGAACTTAACTTCCACTCACCTGCTTACAGATTTCAGTGGTCCTCTCTCCTCCACACTCCGTGAGGATGAAGAACAGGCTAGAGCAGGGCCACCTCAGTGCATAACTTGGGGAGTGGACATGAGTCCAGCCCTGGCCCCAGTACCCAGCATCACTCCACCTGCCCTGAGTCCCCCCATGAGACATACTGGTTCCAGAGAGCAAAGGCTTTGCGGTCCCACAGCTCCGACTCAAACCAGCTGGCTCACCTGGAGCTGGGTGGCTTCCTGCTACTTCCCCAGCATCTCTGGGCCTGTTTCTCAGCCTTCAGGCCAACATGCTACAAGCCTCAAATATAAGACACGCAAGGCCTGCAGCAGCCCCAGCCTGCACGCCGTCACTCTCCCCGGGGCAGCATGGTCACCGCCACTCACCGTGCTATGACACCTGCTCTCGGGGGCTCTGCCCCCTCTTCCCTCCTCCGCCTGCCAGTGCTGAGGCCTGACGGAAAGCGCCAAGTTAGTGAGAGCATCGTGGGCTCGGCCAGCCCCGCCAAGGCAGAGTGACGGTGAAGAGAAAATGAGATATGGGTTAGTAAAGCTGATACAGCAGCTAAAGGGCTAATGCAGGTTTGGGCTTTGTTCCCAGTGGTTTCATCAGCAGAGAACAGAGGTGAGAGTCCCTCGTTAATAGCCTTCTCCAAACCCCACCTGGAAAATTACATGAAATTCCGGGCACTTCAATACCATAAAGATGCAGGAAAGCTGAAGGGAGTACCGAGCCCAGTAATAAAAGCAATGGGGTGGTAGGGAGCCGTGATTTACTGGGAAAGATTAAAATAACTAACTATGTACAGCACGTCTGGGTGGTGACTGCTGAGGAGGCAGGGAATCGTAGCAGCCTATAAATAATGAAGGCATGTAAACAGCGCGGCAGACGCTTCGGCCGGTACCAGGAGGCTCAGCAGAAGGAGGGTAGCCCGCCGGAGAGGACAATTTATGAAGGGCGTTCGGAGAGCTGTGTGGGCTTCTTTTGAAGACAGAGAGAGAGAGAGAAATTAAAGACACTGAGGAGTACTGTTCCAACCCAGCAGGAGGAAATCCTGCTTTCCCAATCTACTGGTTTCCGGTCCACCCTGCACGACTCCTAACCCAACTGCTAGAGCCCGTGGCTGTCACCTCCTGTCCCCAACAGACCGCAAGCTCGGCAGAGTGGAAACACACCAGGTTTGCTCACCAGTAACGCCCCAGCACCTGAGGCAACGCCCACCTCATGGTCCTCATCCCATAAATATCAGCCAAGTGAAAGACAGAGCAGATGACCGGGCTGCAAAGAAGTAAATAAAGCATTTATTACCAAAAATGACACGAGGTAGCAGTCACAGTAAAACACCAAAGACCAAAGACCTAGCAGGCTCATTGCTATGGATTGTAAGAATTTTAAGGTTAGAAGGGCCATTAAACATCCTATATTTCCTATAGGATGGATAAACAACAAGGTCCTACTTCATAGCACAGGGAGCTGTCTTCAATATCCTGTCATAAACCATAATGGAAAAGAACATGAAAAAGAACACATATGAATAACTGAGTCATTTTGCTGTACAGAGGGAATTAGCACAGCATGATAAATCAACTAAAACACTTCAATAAAAATTTCTTTTAAAAATCCTACATTTCAACAATTCTCAATTTCTTTTCGCAAACCAGCTCCTGCGTGCCCCTGTTCTTGTGCACCAGGCTCCAGAACGCTAAGTACACCCAGATCCTTCTCTCCACCCTGAAAGCGCCTCTCAGAGTGCAGCCACGTGAGAAGGACAGTCTCCCACGGAAAACCTCAAAGCCTCTCTAATCGACTAAAACAAAAGAGTGAACCAGTGGAAAGGCAGACACTGCAGGTTTAAATTAAACAACTCAAGACTGAAACCGCACGGGCCACCTGCAGAGCCTCCTGCTCCTCTGGGCCGCCTCCTGGGGTCCCCTCCCACACCCAGACTCCTCTGCAGCAGCTCGTATGACAAAGCTACAGGCACCGGTTTGCCAAGATCCGTGGCGAGCACGGGATTTTCCCTGTCAACTTAGCCAATGCTGATGAGCCGTAGTTATGAAATTTGGAGTCAAAGTCCAGACAGCCCTTGATGCATACATTTGTTTCTGGAAAAGTCAACTTCAAAGCCCAAAGTCCATCTATGGAATCCTGATTCCCCATTAACACCCACAATAAAACAGTAAATACATTCCAGGGAGAAAGCAGTGGGGGGAGTCATTTCTCAACTGAGTCCTCAAAGCAGTTGCTGCCCCCAGGGCCCAGATGCATGGGAGTTGTGAGATGGGGGGTGCTGTGGACAGAGCCCAACATGACTCAGGAGCCCAGGGGTCACACAACCCACCATCTCAACACAAGGTACTGAGCGCAGGACACCGGAGGAGGAGGCATCTGAGCTGGGTGGGGTCAGCCCAGGGAGGAGGGACGGGAAACAGCTGAGTTTGTTGTGGGGGGTTGGGGGGGAGGGTGGGGGGGAAGCTAGTAGATCCTGCTACACTCTGCTCTGAAGTGGAGCAAACAGATCAGAGAAACACAACAGATATTCAGAGCAAGGGGTCAACACTTTGGGGGACAAAGTTAGAACTTAAGGCCACACAGTCTGACCTCCATGGATCTGAAGCTACATAAAAACTTTGTTCATTTTGATCAATTGTTCTGAACAGAAATATTAACACTTTGGAACTTGAGGTGATACATCAGACCCCGCTGGGGTGTTCTCTAATATGGGGTGCATGTGCTGCGTCCCCTTCCCAAACTCTAGAATGTTCTAGAACACAGCAGGCCAGGGCCAGGGAGTGACAGGGCTGTACAACTCCCACAGCTCCGCAAAGGATGGAGGGAGGGGTCATGAGGGAGACGAGAACAAGATCAGCCCTACAGATGGAGGGGACCCACTGGCGGCATGCTGGACGGGCTGGAGAGAAGGAGCTGTCCTGGAGGTAAATCACTAGGATTTGGTGATATTGAGAAGTAGGGTGGGGGTGGGGAGGGGTGGGGACAAGGACTCACAAGTTTTGTCCTGGACGCAGGCGGAGGCAGCACCTTTGAGACAATGCTCACAGGTGGGAGAATGTGGTTTGTGCACCTTTTGAAATTGGGGTGATAAAGAGCTACAGAGTCTTCTGAGCTCAGCTGTTATTATGTTCAGCAGGTATAATAATAAGACAGTTCCATGCACCTCCACCATCACACTTTTCGTACTACTGGATTCCTTACACAGATTTTTGGTTTTCTCTGGATAATCTCTGAAATGGTTTCAAAAGTCATTTCTAAAATGCAGATACGGCCCCCAGCAGTAAGCCACCAAATTCCAAACCAGGGAGGAAGCCTAGTGATATACATAGCCACGAGTAAATAACGAGGTGATTTTGTTAAAACAAGTAGTTTCTGGGGCAGAAAATAAACAGCAGAATCATCAAAGATGGCAAAGTCATTTTCTGTGAAACACATTCTCACTCCATGAACATAGCACAGCTGATGGGCTATTTTCTGGTTTTGTCTTTAGCATTTGTTACCCACTTAAGTGACCCAGCAGAAAGGTGTTAGAGATGGAAAACTAAGAACCCTGACCTGTTGGGGAGGCAGAGGTGGAAGAGGATGGAACAAGACATGGTCACTGGTGTCCCTGCTAATTCTGAACAGCCCAGAGTATATGTACATGCATGTGTCCAATTCTTCATGACCCCATGGACTACAGACTGCCGGGCTCTCCTGCGCAAGGGATTTCCTTGGCAAGAATACCAGAGCAGGTTGCCATTTCCTTCTTCAGGGGATCTTCCTGATCCAGGGATCAAACCCATGTCTCCTGCGTCTCCTGCATTAGAAGGCGGGTTCTTTACCACTGAGCCACCTGTGAAGCCCAGAGGAGGAACAGTCCAGAGGAGGATGTTCAAGGAACTATATCTCCAGCCCCTTGGACATTGGGCTTGTCTACAAGGTCAAAGTTGAGTCTCAGGGTCATGTGGGAAGGGGGAGTGATGTGTAGTGTTTGAGGCCAGCTCTAGAAATACCCTAAGATCTCTTCTACTCTCATCTATTGCTGTAAATTAATCAGGTGGTCAAGCCCTCTGCAAGGGAGGTTGGGAATTGAGTCTCCAGCTGCGTGGCTGAAAGGAGGAAAGCACGTTGTTGAACATGTTGACCATGAATCTCAGCCTGTGGTCCTCCCCCATCGGGCCCAGCGACATGGCAGTCCCAGCAGTCACCCCTCAGAGCTATTGGACCACTACCTGCCAGGTCTCCTCTGCATGGAGACACAATAACCAATTCAGAAAACTGAAGAGGGGGTATGTTATCAGGGCACGTACAGTGAAAACTGGATCGCTGGTCTACTAAGGAAGACTGTCCCTCACTCCCAGTGGAAACTGAACCAAATCAACTCACTTCATATCCCTAAGTCCCATTTGTTTCCAATTCAAAGAAGAAGAAAAAAGCTACTTCTGGGCCATGGCCCCACCTCCCTGGAACATGGTGAAAGTAGGTGAAGCCACGCTTGCCCTCTGCTTTGCAGTCCGAGACATGCTGGCTAAACATGGTGTTCCAGCTGCCCAGGCAGAGTCAGGAAGTACACATGGAGTCCAGCATAATTGAAGGAAAATGCTAGGTGGGAGTTTCCAAAACCTAAAACTCAAGTGGACCCATCTCTCCAGTGTTGATTCAAGATGGGGGAAAGAAGCTGAGGCCAAGGTCAGAGAGCCCAAGTGTGATCCCAGGACTGATGTGAATCAGCTAGTGTGTTTTCTCTGAGACAGCCATGATGGTGTGATTTCAAGGATCCAAATTTGAGAAGGAATTCCTTCTCCTTCCTGTGGAAAGAGAGCCACAGCTGCTGTGGGCCTATACAGTTGTCAGGATCTATGCAACACGCTTTACAAACCTCACTTACCCCATCCTGACGACAGCCCCCTCAGAGGCAGGGATGGAGGGCCACGCAAAAACACACTGAGGAACATGGTGTGTCCCAGGCCACAAAGTTAGAAGAAACCATGGATACGGGATTCAGACCGAGACCACCAGACCACAAAGTTTACATTTGTAAACACTGTGCTAACTGACTTGTAGAGAGTGGGTATTTAATAAATGAATAATGACACTCATGCAACTTCCACGATTTAAAAACTTCACTCAGCCTCATTGACCTTCCATCCCATGAGAAGATGCAAATAAATACTCTTTGTAAGCTGGTATCATCCATGTGTGAATTAACAGGAGTATAAACGATTACTATATACTACTTCCACAGGTTCCATCCTTCTGTAAACAGCACAGTGGGTACGTGTCACGTTGAAGTCCAGTAGGCGCAACATGGCCTGATTTCCATCGAGACAACCATAGCTGGTTTATTTGCTGTCCTCCAAATATAAAGTTCTCATCCTAGTGGTGTAGAAAACAGAAATGAGGCTTTGATTCTCTTCTGCCTTACAAAAACTTGTTTTCAGACCATTAATCTGCAAACCTGTATACAGTCTTGATGTTCATGTCGTATCTTCAGTATAAAGTCCTACGGTCCTAAGAACGGGTG